AATTTAGAACTATTATATAAATATGATATTATATTTATATGTCAGGGTCCAGTCATATTTAGAGACTGAGGTGGACAGTGAATGGACTGATCCCCAGTATGCTTGAGTGTCCACCCAAACAATGGGTAGTTTATCCCAATGCGGAACAGAATGTCCGACAAACAATCTCCAATTCATAAGATTTTTTAGTAGTTATGGATTTTTTCTTAATGTACCTTTAGAATGCATTGATTCTAAAACAGACATTTACAATTTTTAGCAATCCTGTCTGTTTCATGCTGTATACAAAAACCACATTTTAGCTAGCTGGTCGGCTGGCCGGCTATAAATTTAAAGAGGCTATTTGATCCATATATCTCATACTCATTAATGGTTTATGAGCTCATCGACCAACCAGTGTGCAGTAGTTTGAAACCCCCATCAAATACAACCCCACCCATTTCAAAGTTCTAGTCATTGAAATATTTCAAAGTCCTACTACTCAGACTTTGAAATATTTCAAAGTACTAGAACTTTGAAATAAAAACAAACATAACAAAAAGAGTATAAGATGTTGTGTCAAATACTCGTCACTGTATTCTATCTGGGTTTCAAAATCCTCGTGGCATTTCAGCAGCCTTGGCATTCTATTGGGATTTCAAAATCCTTGTGGAATTTTAAATGCTGAGGAGTAGTCAAGGCATTTGAAATGCCACGAGGATTTTGAAACCCCAATAGAATACAGTGACGAGTATTTGAAACATTACTTAGAATCATATATTAACTATGTTAGAATAAAATAGAAAGGGCAAATAGACAGGGCATCGATAACAACTGATAATGCAGCAAATGTCATCAATGCCCATACATGTTCTTTCCACTGTTTATATCCACTCACGCTCACTATGTTGTCAATTGTTGCCCAATCCACAAATAATACTTCCGATAATTACTCTATGAATACAGGCCGCTTTTTAATGATAGGCCTCGTTAAGTCCCTTAAGACAATATCAAATTTTATTTTTCACTTGTTCCTTAAGGTGACTGCCTACTTTTGCAAATTGAATTTAGCTTTTCTTAAAACATCGATTTTCCGARTTGAAATTTAATGCTGATTCCAAATCTGGAAAGAAAAATAGGGTGTCYSGAGCTCGYTTTCGAGATAATCAGCATTTAATGGAAGCCTACGCACKAGCTTTTGGAGTAAAAATTGCRCCAMCGGAAGTGATTAGAAAAAAATTAAGATTCATAAGATAATAGTTATTTGCAGACTATRTGATTGCACGAATGAAGGCTAKTCAATCMTTCTACAATAATACATGGATATTTTCGACAAAAAGACAGAGAGTTACATTGATTTGTCATATTTTGTAGTTTCGGTGCTCTTAAAAAATCTCATAAAGTCGAACGAAAAAATCCCTACAAAAATCTATTTTTTCACGTGTTCCTGATTTAAACTTTTCCTAAAATGTTGATATAACCTTGATTTTTAGAAGTTTTTTCGAATGAGCAATCAAAAAATGGGGCCCTTTGCAAAATTTGAGGGTTTTGCCCAGTTGAAGCTCAAAACGCTCATGGTTCTTCAATAAAATCTTGTAGATTTTTCAGCGGTTTTTGAGCGCGCGCGCTCATGGTGGGCTCAATTCGAACGTTTAAAAGTAGGCAGCCAACCTAATTTTTTTTTAAGGAGGCTTTCTGATCCATATTTAGGTAATTTAGACAGGGCATCGATAACAACTGATAATGCAGCAAATGTCATCAATGCCCATACATGTTCTTTCCACTGTTTATATCCACCCTCACTCATTATGTCGTTAACTATTGCCCAATCCACATGAACTCTTCCAGTTGTTATACTAAAACAGGGCGAAAATAATTTCTTAAGGGATTCCCTGTTACTCCTTACCTCTTCACCTTGCCTCCTTTTATCTTTTAGTTCCTTATTGTATTCTTCAAAATATTCCTGTGTAATACTATCAAGTTTATTGCACATACTTACAATAGAACATTTCTCACCATCATCCTCTAATAAGTAGCCACCATTGTCAAACCTAGTATTACCGTCTAGYTTTCCCTGCTTTTGCAATTCCTTGAAAAGTTTGACTTGCTCTTCGTGGTAATCCTTGCGAACTGCTTTACTGGGGTTAGTACTCCCTTGTCCCCTTTCTTCCTCTTGTACTTTTTTTGGAGATTTGCTTTGATCTTCTAGTCGGCAATTGGACTTCGCAGGGCGCCTTCGTTCATCTACACGATCTGGATTGCTTATGTTTACTCTTATACAAAAACATTGTTTTGCCTTTTTTATGCTTTTGTTAAAATGCTTTGGCAAGTCTKYTSSCTYYTYAAAGWGTTTTTTCATCTTGCTCTTGAGAAGATTTTCAAATTCAATTGGTTCTAATCCAAATTTCTTGAGAGCTGGCGCGTACTTAAGCTCCTCGGACATTGTAGATTATGATCATCACCACACGATCAACAGTATTTTTTCCCCTCTTGGCGCTGTTTGTTTTTCCAAGGGCGCTAGGGCAAAAATTGGTGGTTTTTTAGCCGTTAGAC